CGTTACAAATACTTGTACTTTTTCCCTAAAAAAGTAACGAAAGTACAAGTAAAAGTACTAAATTTAAAAAGTAACGAAGTACAAGTAAAAGTACGTACTTTTTACTTGTACCGGCGGTACAAGTAACGAAAGTAAAAGTACTGCCATATATGGGTTAGATAGGTTTAAAAAACGGAATAACAGAAATTCGGGAAAAATTATCTGATAGTCGGGAAGTGTTTCCATATCTGATGTTGAGAATCGCTCATCAGCTAAAGTTTACCATTTCTTTTGTACGCAAGACGAGGAGTAATGAAAAATAACACATTTTTTGCTGCTACATAATATTTTTCAGTCATTTATTTGAATAATGTGTAATAAAAGGGAGGAGTTTGGGAACCATTAGTTACATTGCTTGCGTAACGGATATAGTGAACACCCGGTTATAGTGAAACGAAATTTCGGTTCCTTGAAGGTTCACTATAGGGGATTTGACTGTAATAACAAAATAATTGTTATAAATTACGAATTTATTGCTGCATTTTTTGGCATAGGGCGTTCAAAAACACTATTCGCCATTTATTGTCGGTTCCTCAAACCTCTAAAAGCCTTAAACTCCACTGATGAGTATGAGAAATCGCATATTCCAAACGCTTCTAAATTTATAAAATGATTCTATGTGTATTTTTTGAGGAAGATCAAAAAACATATGTTGGTATTGAAGTATTTCCGTTATTTTGTCCAATCCCTTGTATGTTTGTTATAATAATGTTATCTATTACTATTTTAGATTTCAAAGATCATTTTAATGCTTTATCTTTTACATTGTGTTCTTTAATGAAAGGAAATAGATAAAAAAAATATTCTTTAATGCAAAGGGTTAGATATAATTGGTAAATAAAATCTTATCCGTATCGAAATTTCACTAAATTGTACGAAAGATTAGGAAAAAAAAATTCAATTGTAGTGTATTTAACTTTTTTTAAACTTTCATTAATACCATGATGTTTTCAAAGAATTTCTTTCGGAATTTTTAACAATTAAAAGAAGATGTTAATTTGTATAAAATCAACTATAAAGTATTATGAAAACTTCATGTTTACTTTTAAAAAAAAAAAAAAATGTTAGCTTTCTAACGTTACGCAGCATCAAAATTGTTTCTGAAACATTTTTAAATAAGAAAACTATTCTTTTAAAATTGAAATTAGGGAAATCATAAGACATAAAATATGATTTTTATATCATCTCTTTAAATCCCGACCAGGTGGCCGAGTGGTTAGCGTGCCTAACTGCGGAGCTGATGGTTGCGGGTTTGAATCCCGCTCAGGGCATGGAGGTTTCTTTCTCTCTGTGTTCTATGTCCTTTCTCCTTTGTGTGATTGTGTGAATGTGACCCGCCCTACAAACGGGTTTGCGGCTGTGTGACGTGGGCGACGCTGCTCCACCGCCGTGGCTTCGCCACAGGAGCCCACTGGGTAACGAGAAGAGAGTAGCAGTTCTGGCACTAAAAGGCCAATGGAACAATACATCCCAAGTGCCCGCCATTTAAAAAAAAAATATTATCTCTTTAAATAATGATATATTTCGACATAAACTACCCAATATTAAATTTAAGTGCTTTTTTTCGCTTATTTGTAAGGTCTTAGATAAATTTACTCAATAAAAAGTAATCAAAAAACAAAACTTGTTGTTAAATGTATTTATCTTTTTAGGTTTGAAAATGTACTACTTTTTAGTGTTATCTTTTTGCGCCATCCTCTTTTCTGGATCCTGTACAGAACGTAAGTTCGGATTTATAAATTTTTTAACTAAGTTTCTATATGTAGTTCTATAAAATGACAGCCAATCATTTTGACATTTACATATATACGTAGATAAAAAATAAATACAAAAAGGATAACAAGAAAAAAGAGAAAAATGAAGAAAATGAAGAAAATTAATTTTCTTTACATTTTATTTCCTGCTTTTTACGTGTTATTTATCACTTAATGTGTTCTATTTTGTTTCAAAAATTTTATGAGTGCTCCTCACACTGTTGTATTGATATATTTTGCTCTGGCTATATTGATACAATATCAGAAAGCACTTCTTTTTGCGGATATAATTGTGTGAGCAGATGAAGAGATTATATCTTTTTTTCCGGATTTTTATTATTATGAATGTTATCTTATTTTAGTAATTTTCTTCTTCTCTCTTCCTTATTCTGTAATTTTTTTCCATGTTTTCTCCATCAACTTTTTTTACAAAGTAATATATTGAAGAATTATGTCAAAATAAATTTTGTATTTTATTTCGATACCCAAGTAGCACCTAATATTAGATAACATCAGAAAATCGGCAAAATCTATCGTTATCTTGCACAACTTCTAATATTAGAAAGATACAAGAGGTCGCTGTTTGCTCAGCATTACATAATATTAGATTCTATGCAAACTTATATTATCTAACGCTCGCCATAATATTATTTTGCATTAGTTTGATGCTATATAATATTAGATTTTGTATTTTCTGATATTATTTTGCTTTGCTTTTTATTTTTTTGGAGTAAGCAATATATATGGAAATATATGGATATAATATATTCTTAATAAGTGTATATAATAATTCTTAATTCAGAAATAATTCTTAATAAATTGATAAACCACTCAGTTTTTAATCCTATCTTTAAGTAATGAAATAAATAAATTTTATACTTTGTACTTCAGCCCAACGATTGTTTCAAGGCAATGATAGTAAAATAACTAAATAAAAAAAATAAGGTTAAAAAAATAAATACAATTAATAAAAAAGTAAAATAACCAATTTTTTATAATTCCTTTATTTTATCCGAATTCCTTTCATTTTTACAGTGATCCCTGAAGTTGCTTCGGAGGATAATGATGTCCAAAATAGCGTCGTATACTGTCCAGGTGGATATTATTATTGTCAAGCCGGATCGACATGCTGTCCTCTACCAAACGGAGCATACTCATGTTGCCCATACCCCTCAGCTATGTGTTGTGCAGATATGGTTCATTGTTGCCCATACGGCACTCGATGTGATGCTACCTCTCAATACTGTCTCCATGGTTACAGCCTGATGCTATCACAATCTAAGACACCTGCATTTCCTATGAAATAAACATCTCAGTCTCGTTTAACTTGTTTTATACTCATATGTAAATATGTAATATAGAAATAAAGGACTTATTTTATACTATTTTTGTTTAAGTAATACAATCGATTAAGCAGTAAAAGTGGGATAAGAAAATTGAAAGAAGAAGCAATGAAATTTTTATTTATTTATTTATTTATTGTGTAACTACCACTATAAAAATACAATTCCAATTCACTAGTATATAAGGCATGTTAACTCGATACTATTTTGGGGTACCTTTTCATAAATGAAGATTTACATTGGTGTCCCTCGGACGTGATGTGAGCACGCCAACATTGACAGTAACGCCCACATCGATCTAATTACGCCTACTTCGATGTATAGTCCACATGGAACAGTTGACTTGCTACTTGTGACTTCGACATTATCCGCCTCCTCGTGCTGTTGCTACTCAGTCTCGATCACACACAACGTATACAATCGACTGCTAATATCAAAATGGGAGCGACCATGAACTTAATACAGATCTCACGAACAGCAATAAAAAGTATGGTGATCTTAATACAGCTCTCCCGGATTCTCCCAAAACTGCAGTGAATCAATTAAGGGTATCCGTACATCGAATTCTATCTCAACTATAATTCTGGTGTTGGAGTACTGTAGTGCATCTGCCACAACAAAAATATAATTCCACTTTACTAGTATATAAGACACGTCAACTCGATTTTACGGTGGGGTACCTTTTCATAGTTGAAGGTTGACATTGTCGATATCTATTCTCCTCACATTTACTTTTACAAACTGATTCTTGTTGATCAATCGAATCCTTGACATCGAAGCCCAGTTGATTACGCCGAAGCCCTGTAGATCTGACATCTTAGCCCTGTAGATTAAAACCCAAGAATTCGCAGATCTAATGGAATTAAGAAGAAACTGATTACGCGGGAATCTAAGGTTGAATCTAAAATTTCAAAGGAGTGGTAAACCCCTCCCTGCCATCCCTGGCATGGGAGCAAAGAGTCGGGTTCTTCGCTTGCTCTCAACTTTAACAGAGCCTCACGAACAGCATTTTCAAGATGGGCAAGTGAACTCACCATGAGTCTCTCGTTCTTTGAGTGCAAGAGGATCTTTGCAGTCTGCTCAAGCTCAGCAGGCCTCTGCAAAACGCATCCTGCTGCTTGGGTCTTGCCAGGGAAGACTTCTTCATTTATGGTTCTCGATTTTCTGAGGATTAATGGTATAATGGATCTTATCTGACTTCGTCAGACAGTTGGGGGATAAGACACAGCAACAACAGAAACTGATTTAAATTAAATTAAACTCATAGTTATATAAGAGTGTATACCACGATGCCTTACTTTAGAATATATTAAATAGATTGTCAAAAGTAGCATAAAAATATGTAATGTAAGTAGCAAGTAGTAATAAAAGTAGCAATATAGGGAAAACATACACTAGAAAATCACACAAAATATGCACATTAAGTAAAAGATTTAAATGATTAAAAACTAAATATTAATGAAAACACAAAGAATCATAGGAAGAGGTTAAAAGCATCAAACCTGGTTGATTGCCGAAATAATTTGACAAGACATTCCTTTCCTTATTATTTTTTTACAATGGAATCTGATTGATTACAAGAAAATTCTAGAAACTGAAAATTGGAGGGCAGTTGCCGAAACGTAGAGAGGTCTGGAAAAGATTTTTGGCGATGGCCAGGGCCCCACCCAAAGCTGCCGTGCCACTGAAGAAGAAGATCTAATTGATTTTTTATGTTTTCGATCCCAATCTACTCAATAGAGATAAGTCAAATTCTTAAAATGGTTTGTTTTACTTTGCCTAAATAATAGTTCGTAACCCTTAATATGTAGATTCCTTTGCTTCAATTTTTACAGAGATTTCAAAAATATATATCTGAGAGGGGATTACTTGAAAATGTTAATAATAATTTGCTTTTATTTTAGATTACCATTTCTTTAATTGCAGATCAGAGAATGTTTTTATTTTTTATTATTCTATTTTATTTTGTAACCGACGTTGAACCGTTTTTGGGTTTGAGGTTATAAATGTTCAGCTCTGTAGCTTTGTAATTTCGAACCAAACACAGAAGACATGGTAATTCGTGGATCATAGGACAAACTAGCTTTCAGGGAGGACTTTTTTTAGGGAACTAGCTCTCATTTGCATTACACTGAGAGGAAAACCACAACGACATTTAAGTTACGGTGATACCGGATCCGTCTACCACTTAGGGTATTTTATGTCTGCACTGTTGTCGTTTCCAGTCAGGAGCAAAATTCAAATTGATTAGACACGGCATTCGAACTTGTGTCTTCTAATTGGGACCCGAACGCTTTATTCCCGGAACCACGAGAAAATGAATTAAAGGAGTGCAATTGCTCCAACAAATAAATTTTTGAAATGCTTTGTTTGTTTGGTTATTATTTATTTATTATTTTTTTTGAAAATTTTAAACCTTATTTTGTAGACTTCAAAGTGAACATGTATGATAACAAAATAGACAAATTAGCACGATATTTCTTATTGAAGGGAAAGCAAAGACACAAAATGGTTAATGATTAAATGGCTTAATGGTAAAAAAAAAAAGGACAAAAGAAGCTCGAAATAAATGAAGAAGCTATGAGGAGTGCAGTTAAGCTCTACCAAATTACAAAATACTATTAAAACATGCAGCAAGCATATAGAAAGGAACATTATACTTGCATCAGTATTATATCATGAAAAAAAAAAAACCCTAAATTATCAAAATATTATCACAGATATCGGAAAAAAGCCAGAATTTTTAAATTTACTTGGGACTTACGGCCCTATTCCGATGTTGATTAGAGACTGCTTGATAATCGAAAATCGTGTTTTCAGATTATGCAATAAAAACAATTAAGACTCGAAAACTCCTTTAGCATTTGATTACAATTTTTATTATCTTTCTATTATCTTCAGTATAAATGTTTGTCACCAAATCGCAAGTGAAACTGGCGAGCAAGCAAATGATTAGGAGAAATACTTATGATTTTTATAATCATGTGACTTATTAAAAGACAATAATATCTGCTTTGAAAGTGAAACAGATAGCAAAAGAAAGCTATTTTAAGTGAACAAACAATATATTTTGAGGTATATAAACACTGGGTGAGAGCAAAAAAAATTATTACTCGCTAAGGATTATTATTTTATTGTTCGTTCTCTAGTAAAAGTAAGCATGCTTATGAAATATTTACTTCCTAATATAAGGATAATTTGAAATAATATATTTTGAATGAATAATATTTTTATTAGCTTTTTTATTTTCATGTTCAATCGATCATTTATTGTTATAGTTGGCAAAATACGTTAAAATTTTATTTTATTGATTTACTTTTAATGAATTCAAAGTTAATTTTTAATGCTTAAATTAAGTATTTTATAAATTTTGAACATTTACTATGGTGATAATTTAGCAATTTATTCCGCAATACTTGTCTCATACTCATTATTGAACAAAACCAATTAGCATCCATTGTGATATCCGTCAATATTTCATCCGTCATTATTTTATCGTATTGATTTTAATTTAATGAAATCAAAATTTATTTTTAATACTTAAACTAAGCATTTTTAAAATTTTAAATATATTTAAGATTATAATTTATTTATCTGTTCCGCAATCCCTGATTAATACTCATTATTGTGCAGATTCAATTAGTATCTATTTTAATATCCATTGATATTTAATCCGTTAATATTTGATCTTATTGATTTAATTTTAATGAAATCATTTCATTTTATTTCTTAATTCACGTATTTTTTAAATTTTAAGTATTATATTTATGAGGATAATTAAACTATTTGTTCCTAATACTTAATAAAGTGAAGATTTAATTAATATCCATCTTAATATTCATTGCCTGTGAAACATTACAATAATTTGAGTAGGATAGAAAGCACGCATAAAATAAAAAAATTTTTAGAACTTAATTTCATAAATTGATGAGAAATTATCTAACAATATTTTTTAATAATATTACTTTATTACTTAAATATTTTAATTGTAGCCAACAACTATTAAAAGTATTCTCTTTATGTGTTGTTTAATCCTTCTTTAATATATATTTGACAATTAAAATATTTCTAGGCTATTTTTATGAATACTGTATTGAAGTGAAATTTTTAATTTAACATTTGTTTAATATGTTAAGAAGTTTATTTTGTTTAATCCTAGGATTACATTACAATCCTACAATATATTTATAGGCATCATTTAGAAATGAAATTTTTTGTATAGTAATTATTTGCAACGTTGTTAAATTTGTTACTAGTGATGAATTTAAATTTAAATAAATGTTTCTTAAAAAGTTAATTTATAAGTGGAATTCGTAATATATTTCACTGTTTATTTCAAATTTAGTACTGTATATAATTTGCTTAATAACCAAAATTCTAAATAAAGTATCTTAAAAAAAATATCTTTTATTTTTATTATTTTATAAAATTGTTTTTTAAGTATGCGATGATGTTAAATAATTAACTACGTTTATTAATAACCTACAAGAAGAAACTTCTATCCAAATTATTAAAAGAATTCAGATTTTTCTCCAATTAATTATTGAAATATTGATGTAAAGGTTGTGGTATGTTTATTATTTACATCATAATTTTTAAACTGATACGTATATTACTTGTATCATGAACTTTAAAGCTTTAATAAAAACTTAAGATATTCGACTAGTTTCGAATTTTTTTTAAAAATATTAATATAAAATTTTGTAAAGCTAGTTTAATCGTTTATTATGCACTAAACACTGTAGAAAAATTTCTATCGCATGAAGCAAAAAAAAAAAAAAAAAAAAAAAAAAAAAAAAAAAAAAAAAAAANAAAAAAGAAAAAAAAAAAAAAAAAACAACAACATATTAACTATGTTTTGAACTATTATATTAGAAGCAAAGTGTACTCACTAGAGTTAGGAATCAATGTAGTTTACAATGTAGTTATCATCGTTTAAAAAAACTGCGACAACATTGTAAATAATTGAAATGCAAATAAAAGTAAAGTATTTTTAGAAAAATAATAGCACATGGATTTTAAATTTGTAATAAACTCAATTTCGAAAATTATGCCCAAAATAATGTTTTTTCACTTAAATAACCTTAAATAATGCATGGATAGGATTCATGCATTATTTACGATTATTTATTATCTCAAATAATCGTCAAGTGCTTAAAATGTATTACGAAAATTACACGAATAAAAAAGCACGTTTCTTTAAATTAAGAAATCTATGCATGATAAGTGTGCAGTTTTTTTCTTCTAAATGTAACATGCTATTTTCATGAAATTTATTTATTCACTATTTTGTAACACAAGAAGGTTGCTTACAATAGTATTTATTAAACATTTTAAATAATTGATGAATTTTATTGGTGAGGGAAAAAAAACGGACTACCTTGTTCCTGAATAATTTTCTGTTTTAGGACTCAATATTAAATGGTTCAAGGGGGTGACCTTAAATGTGTTAATTAATTAGCAGAGGAAGATATTTTAAGTTACAAAATCAGTCCAAAGTGTGGAACAATTCATGTTAATTTTATTATTTGCGTATTTCTCCATATCTTGAAAACGTTTTAAGCGAATTGAAGCATTTTTGTACATAATTGTAAAATTCGTTTATTCAAAGATAATTTCATACAAAAAGTCCCTTTTAGTAAATATTTATTATTTGTTATCATTTTATTTAATAATAATTAAAAAACTTTTGAACTGCAAGGTACACAATATGTTTACATACTTTTAGAGAATGTTATTTTATACGGTATTACATAGTAAGTGTTTTTCCAAGCCTTATTAAATAAACATTTCAACATAATTTTAAATTTTTTTTTTAGGTTTACAATGCGTCTTTTATTTGCATCTGTTTTCTGCGTATTCATCTACGCTGTGTATGCAGATGATTGTCCTCAAGGATTATGCCCAAGTTGTAAGTAGTAATTTAACGTACGATATTTAATTTGTTGGAGAGATTTTTCTTAACCTTGTGCTTTCTAGCCACAGTCAGTTGATCTTCACTAGAAAGTAAAAATAAGCGTAGTGTTACGGTTAATATTTTAGGAAAACGCTTAGCAAACTCTCTCAATTAAACTACATTAGCAAGTTGCTAATCCGAACTAGTTGAAATCTTTGCATGTTTGGATCAGCAAGGAAAAAAAAAGAAAGAAAAGAAAAGAAAGAAAAGAAAAGAAAAAAAAAACATAAATCCTGGTTTAGTTTGACGTACTTTCGATCTCGTTCTAATCTTGTTTTTAAAAACAGAAATAGTCTGTTATCATGCAGAAATCTTTAAGACTAATTTAATATCATGAGTTAAAAAGCATGCTTGGGTCTTCCTCTGATTCTTTTTCTGTCTGGGACTCATGTGAGAGCAACAGAGGATATTTTTCCTCTGGGAATTCGAATTACGTGACCCAACCATTTCCATCCTTATCCCAGAATTTTCACTTCTATAATCTTTATTCTAGTTTCTATTTAAAGCAAATCGTCTGTTGTTTTAAAAGGTCAAAAAACTTTAGCAATAAATTTAAAGCATTTGATCTGAAAGGTTATTTTTATATACCGAAATTGCTCTTTTTGTGGTCCACATTAACAAAAGCCCTTATATCTTCTAAACTTCAATAATTTCAACTTAATTTTGGTCTAATTCGATTCAACGCAAAAATATACATAAAAATAATGCTAGATTATAACATTTATGCTTAACACCTTTTCACCCTCAGTCAATTTAAGATGGTCGCTAGTGTTCATTGTAGGCGTGGGAGCAAACTTCAGGTTTCAAGATTGGCTCTAAATCACAGCATTTAAAATAGTCAGCTTTCTCTTAAAAATTTACGTATTGAGCAATATTTGTATAATTTCGAAATCCAAATTTTTATATCCCAAAGAAATCATCCTAATGTTTGGTGGTTGGGAATCACAGTCTACAATCTAATCTGTAATGTAGTTTGTCCAGGCACCATTATTATCTTCGTATCATCACTAGCTCCCCCACTTAATACGAGGCTTGACATCAGGCTCATGACGTTAAAAGAAGAGAACCTGATTTTACTCCACTGATTCTGCTAGCCTGCTCCAGGCAAACATTGTCAGATGAAGACAGCTCCAAGTCAGGCTTAGAATCAGGCGCCTGATGATAGGATCTATACGTCACAAGGTAATTTTCTCTCGATCTTTGCAAGATGGAATTCTTAACCACAGGAATGGTGCCTTTTTTTTAAGCCAGTGAAGCTGGAAGACCGCTTTCAGGAGTCTTTTTCTAGTCCTCCTGTTAATGGGGTGTAAGAACGAAACCCAACCGGCACCAATAGCCCAATAATGTAGCTCTAATTCAGTGATAACAACCAACCCAAATTACTTCTTACTTTAATATTCATTCACTCGAATTTCTTTTTCAGCCCAAACATGCTGTAAAGGCCCTTCTGAAGGTCTCTATGGATGCTGTCCAGAGCCAAACGCTGTCTGCTGCACAGATGGCTTACACTGCTGCCCACAAAACACTGTCTGCAATATTGCAGCGGGCACATGCGATAACCAGAGAATTGTTCCAGATCTATTTTTAAGAAAGATTCGACCAGTAACCGTTACTTCTGAAAGGATGAACAAAGCTTTTAAAGCCACAATCGTCAACTGCCCTGGTGGACAATACTTCTGCCCTGATGGAAATACTTGCTGTCTGCTCCAAGATGGCAGTTATGGCTGCTGCCCATACCCATCTGCAGTGTGCTGTCAAGATCATCTCCACTGCTGCCCTCAAAGTACACATTGCGACAGTACATCAACCATGTGCCTCAGTGGAGGAGACAGATTTTCCTCTCTCTTGAAACGACGAGCTTTCTCCATGAAATGATTTTTAGGAACTACAAATTGTTCTGTTGTTTGTTATAATTTATTCATTTTGATGTTTGAACTAATAAATACGTAAGAAAAAGACATGAGCCTTTCTTTATGACTTAATTATGTTTAAGTAAACACAACTTTAAAATTGCAAACAATATATTTATTATGCTAAAGACACGTTTCAGAGCAATATGGAGTATCTTCATTAGTATATAGCTCGTTAAAATCAACATCATTAGGAAAATGACAAGAGTAATACTTTTTGAAGTAATTAGGATTACGTAAAAACAACGTAAAAAAATTCCAAACATTACCTATATTACAGGTGTATTTTAGTACAACATGGAGCACCTTTATCAGTACATAGCCTGTTTAAGCCAATATGAATGAAAAAAATTACAAGTAATCCTTTATGACAAGAATACAAGAGTAATCAATTCTGGATTGTGATTGAGTAAAAACAATGTCAAAACACAAATAGTATATCTATTTAGACCTAAACATATTTTAGTACAACAGTGTGTGCCTGCGGTAGCGAGTAAAATTATTCTTTCTTACACAGATAAATTGCTTTAGTATATCGTATGAAGTCGTAAAGGATTTTTTGTGATATTAAAATTAATTATGAGGTTTTTCAATTTAATTTAAAGGCGTCAAATAAAGGCAAAAGTATTGAACAATAATTTATTGCTTGCATTAAATTTTTAAATAATTCCAAATATATTGAAAAATCTACCTGTATTATCGATAAAGTTCTGAGCCTTTTTTTTTTGGTAAAAAGACAATGGTTTTTCCACCAAAACAAAACTTCTTCACGTGCAGGCTTTTTGATTATATGTTATTGGAATCCCTTGGGATTTTTTTTTCCGTTGAAGATGTAACTTTAAGGTAATTTTTTTTCACAATCAGCCTAAAGTATAATTAAGTGCTTTAAAAATTTAAATTTTTACACCATGTTACTTGTAACTACATTCGATATTTGTTTGAATTTTTTCTTTCTATTTTCGTATATATGGAACCATAGAAAATGTTATAATTGATATACAAGCAAATAAATACGCAGATTTCATGCAAAAACCATAATACAGATTTTTTAAATTTTTTTTTTATTTCTTTTTTTTTTTATGAAAAATATTGCCGAAATTTAGAGGTCTAAAGATTTGAAAATTAGAAAATTTTTATACATTTTTTGAATTTTTAAGAAATGTGAGCCATATTACTAAATTTTGAAAATCAATTGATTTTCCTTAAAGTACAACTGAAAATGTGTTTATTTTAATTTTATTTTAATAAAGTAATAACTGTTTTGAGGATAGCTTGACCCATTAATCATTGAGAAGTCAGTCTTTTAGTTCTGCAATTTTATTTATGAGAATTTTTACTCATATTTTTATATGCAGTGTTCTCCATAAATAACGTGCCCATATTATTTTTTTTGTCCCTATACCTTATCAAAGATGACGATTAAAAGGTTTACATATGCAAGTTAAAGCTTTAGCAAATGAAAACAAAAACTAGCAAAATCTGACAAATCACAGATGAGGGAGACAGTTGATTAAAACTTGAGCTTTATTTCACCACTCATAAAATTTTTCCGTAATTTATAAATTCAAACATGTCACGAGTCTTAAATAAATTTAATAAAATTAATATCACAACATTGATAAAGTGTAAGGTTTGCCATGTTTTGAGTAATATCCCTTATTTGGCATTATTTGTGTAAAATAGCGCCGTTTGTTATAGTTTGGGTAGCATTTCGGAGTTTTTCAAATTCATTTGTTATTTGTTTCTGTGACAGTTAAATTTAAAAAAACGCATTGTATTGAAAACACTACAAGTAAAATAAAATTGGATGGCGCGTTTTTTCAAACTTAAGCGTAAAAATCAGTCAGAAATAATAACCCACAAGTCTTGCGGTGAATTTTGAACCCCAGCCCAACGATCTACCATCCATATAACAGGCATTGAAAATGGGTCTTTAAACAAGTTAACCAGAGCCGTGCATTGCCATACTATTGGTTCGCTACTTTTGGATCAAAGAATGATGGGATTCGCGATCGCAACGAACTATAGGGGGCGTTGTTGTATAAGACGAATACCTGCGATTTCTATATGAACCGTCATTCTGTTACTCTGGAGACGTCTTTAATGAAGCGTGTAGCATTGTAACGTTCATTCTTTATTGCGGCTTATTAAATTTAAAAAAGAAAAATGTTTGATATTCTTTCTTATGCAAACGAAAACAAAATAGTATCTCTTTCTTTTTAGAGCAGGAACATCCAAAACACATCGGAAAAATATTTGTAAATACACAGAAAAAAAATATGTATCTTCTTATTAGAGTTAAAATCTAATGTCTGAGAAATAGTTTTACTAAATTTAATGATATAACATGAAAGGCCTATTTAAACTATACATTCCATAGTTTAAAGAATCATATTACCTCAAACATTAAAATAAGCAAAAAGTATGCATAAGCCTCATAATTTTATAAAATTTAATTTTGTAAAAAAAGTTTTTTGACAACAATTTTTATCAAAAAATTTTAAGTTTCAATAAAAATCATTATTCGCGATCGCAACAAACTATAGGGGGCGTTGTTGTATGAAACTTATACCTGCGATTTCTATATGAACAGTCATTCATTCACTCTGGAGACGTCTTTAATGTAGCGTCTAACATTGTAACGTTCCTTCTTTATCGTGGCGTATTAAATTTAAAAAAGAAAAATGTTTGATATCCTTTCTTATGCAAACGAAAACAAAATGGTATCCTTTTATTAGAGAAGGAATATCCAAAACACATCGGAAAAATATTTGTACACAAACAGAAAAAAATATGTATATTCTTATAAGAGTTAAACCTAATGGCCGAGAAATAATTTTACTGAATTTAACGATATAACATGAAAGGCCTATTTAAACTTTACATTCCATAGCTTTAAGAATCATATTACTTCAAAAATTAAAATGAACAACATCTTCTGCTTCAATGTTTGGCGTGTTCTGGTTAGTTTTTTTCAAGTTCTTCTGTCTTTTCCTTAGGAAAATTTTGCTTCTTATTTGCAGCTAAGAAAATGGCGTCCGTCTTTGCCAATGGTTATGATTGAACTAATGCCCGATATTTTCAGGCTCCCGCTGGACAGCGTACTCAAGCGTTGCGATCGCAAATTGCTCCAAGGCTTAACGCATATGTGTTTAATAAGCATTTTGACTTTTCTGTTCTCACTGCGTACTACCTTTAAAGCCAATTCAAGTGTAATATGTAAGTTACCTGTTTGGACAAAGTTAAGTTTATCTTCATTTCCGTTTCCAAGACAGAAATTTCTAGAGGGTTTGTTATTGTTTACTAGTGATGGGCAATAACAGGTATTTTCAAATAACAGGTTCCAGCTGTTACCATACAAAATAATACCTGTTCCAAATACCTGTTCCAAATACCTGTTCCAAAATAATAGGTCTAAGAAGAAAAAAAATTCAACTTTTTTTACATTTGAAAGATAATTTAATTGTTGCTGCTGTAGTTAATTTGCGTTGCACTAGAGCTGCACAATGGGCTATTGGCGACGGTCTGAGAAACATCCCTGAAAATGATCCGAAGACAAGCCATTACAATTTTGATCCTCTGCAGAGGGGGTGGCACCCCTGCTTCGGTAGCCCAACGACCTGCACGCGAAGTCGAGCGCTTTACAGTAGAANAATTTTATGAATGTGCCAATAATTTTTAACTTTTTTCTAACATAATATGACGTAGTTTTCTTATTCTTTTAATCGTTTTTAAATGTATCATATCTTATTTTCTGATACACGATTGAATCCTATATTTCATTACATATTAGAAAATAAGAAATGATACCTTTGAACGAGGCTCTTTTGATATTAAAAGTAGTTTTTATGAATCATGATTTAAAAGTGAAAGGAAAAAGTTTCTTTTAAAATCCTTTTCTATCATGAAATGCAAATAATATTGTTTCATAACATCACATGTCCTATATGTTTATTTTATTGAGTTGTAACGAGATGCATATTATTGTGTTATTCTAGTAAAAAACTAAAACTTTCCCACTTTAAAATATTTAAGTACCAGTAAATTAGCTAAAGCAAAAATATTTTACTTCGCTCATAAAAGATTTGAACTATTTATTATAGATTTCTCATAATACAAATCTAATTAAGGTATTACCTATTAAGGCTACTATACTAGGACTAGGTCTAATTCAGGGGCTCTATTACATATCACTTCCGAGGATGACGTCACAAAGTTACTAACTTGACTCTAGACCTAGACTCTCGGTGGCTATGTTTCATCTCTGTGCTCTCCGCTTAGGAACCGTTCACAATGCATGTGATCCACGCACCTCCGATTGCTTTCGAGAGAAATAGACATTTGATTGAAGTTTTTGCTGAAGAATCAACGCTGATCTTAGGTGTGTGAATTGCATGCAACGATATTGGCTCCTCAGGAACCAAATATTATTTTCCTTATTGGCGTTTTTCTCTCAGGCGAATATACAATTATGGCTGATTGACTGAATGTAAGCAATATCAAGCTTCTTAAAACCGGAAGAAATTTAGAAAACTTCCGGTGTATCCCTACATTTACGTTATGTTTACGAAGCGATGTGTGAGCAACATTCCAGGAAATTTTATTTTCATAATTTGTGTTAAAATTTGAGCTTTATTTTACCATTCATAAAATTTTTCTGTAATTTATAAACTCGAACGGATCGCGAGTCGAAAACAAATTTAACAAAATTAATATCACATCATAGATAAAGTGTAAGGTTTGCCATGTTTTGAGTAATATCCCTTATTTGGCTATATTTGTGTAAAATAGCGCCATTTGTTATTTTTTTGGGTAGCATTAGTTTTTGGGAATGCTGAGTTTTCCAAATTCATTTGTTGTCATCAGTTTCGTTGAAAGTTAAATTAAAGAAAGGCATTGTATTGAAAAACAGTACAAGTATAATAAAATGAGATGGCCGGTTTTTTTCAAGCTTAGGCGTAAAAATCAGTCGGAAATATTAACCCGGAAGTCTTACGATGAATTTTGACCCCCAGCCCAACCGTCAACCATCCATACAACAGGCATTG